CCCCCGAGTACACAGTATTTGTTAATATCTTGTGACTGCTTGTGGCTTTAAGTATCTTAACTCAGCACACACATTGCAAAAGTACAGGAAAAACTAATTTGCTTCAAAGGAATCAGCTTACTGGAACTGGTGCCAACAGCAGCAATTCAAAGGTTTTCCTGACAAATACAGGCAAAAATTCAGTACAGGAGTTTGTTAAGCTATGCATCCTGGAAAGGTGAGCAGCATTATGTCTAGATTTCCAGTGAGTGTCATTGTGATACTTGCAGAATCATCGCTTGGTGCAGTGGTTGAGGAGGTCAATGTCATTAGTGACATCATGTGCAAGACCTTTCCATATCATTTCGTCCCCCTTTATGTCTGAAAGGGACTGGAGCGCCTAATGAAGAGCCTCTGCATGGGAAATTGGTCATAATTAATGTCTTGAATTTTTACTTCTAAACCACTGTAGATGCTGATGGGTTACTTGCGTTTTTAAATAAACTATCTAGCTGTAGTCTTGCATATTTAAAAATCAGGCTAGTGATATGGAATAGAATGCTGTTGATTACCTTTACTGAGTTAGGAGACATCTTTTTTCACTTTTATTTTGCTTCCCTAGGCCTGACAAAACTGAAGAGTGTAATAGGACGTGGCATTTCAATGTTACTGAGATTAAGGTATTTATTTAAAACAAAACCAATTGTATCAAGCAGAGCTGAGTGCAATTACTTTTGCACATCTTATATGCAAAATCTGTAGCTTATAATGTATCACTTAATGTTTGCCAAGAGGTATGTTTTTTTAAGGACTCCACAAATTCATTAGGTGCTTCAGTGCTTATGATCATTAGCAGCTGTTCCTGGTTGATTTTGTAGACATATGGTTTGACTCTATTCAGCCACATCCTTCTCAAAAAAAATCTGGAGAACATAGGCAGTGGCAAAAAGTACCTGTGAAAAAGAGGTTACAGTCAGTCCATGTTCTCTCTTCCATTTTCTACTGCAAAGCCAGAACACAGAAAATAAGAGTTCAGAGTACATTTTTCTGTGTGTTTTCTCCCAGGGCATTAGTCCTTTTTTATTCTTTTTTTTAATTAAAAATTTCCATGTTTCATTGAAATGTGTTATAAACAGGGATAGGAGTCTTGAGCCGACAACTGTGAAAAGCTGCATGATTGAACAACTTCTGCAGGGGCAGCTGAAGGAAAATCTTACTTTGAGGCAGTGTGTTGGTATTAGCACATTCAGATATTTAGATAGTTGCACCTACCTGTTACCTCCAACAAGCATTTTCAGAATATTTGGGAAAATGACTTTTTCTGCGAGTAAATGTTTCAGTTGGGGATGTTGAAAGATGAGGCTTCAGTTTTAGAAAATGATCAATGTATGTCAATTGTGTAAGAAATAGCTTTTCAACACTGTAGGTGCATTTATTAATTGTGGTATTTTTAGGATCTTATGGTAGACATGAGACACTACTGGCCTGATGTGCTTCATTCGTCTCTGAATCGCACCCAGTTCTGGTGAGTACAAAGAAACCTGAAAAGTATTTTGGATATTATTTTATTAAAAAAATCTGTCTGAGCTAGTAATTCTTCACGTGAGATGTTGTGCCTGAGAAACAGTGTCCAGGAGGCCACTGAAAGCAGTGTGTCTTGTCAGTCTCATTTCCAAAATAAATCTGTTTTCTTGTTAGGGTACCTGCAAAATGCAGCTGTTGAAGAGGGGGCTATGGCAGAGTTTTTTGAGAAGTGAAACAATGAAAGAGAGAGAGAAAAAATGTGTTTCCTCCCTTTGCCCCCAGGGAGGGGAAGCAGCTGGTGTTGACACACTAAATCTGAATAGCAGTAGCACTCCTGGGATGTCACAGCTAGGTGCAAGAGTATCTTCCAGGCCTCTGCCTAGCTAGCTTCACTGTGTTGCTGGCTTTGAGAGACCTTTCCTTTTGGGCTTTCTCACTGTGGAGGAAATGGAAAAATAGGATGCATTGGATCGTCCTAGCCACTTGTCTACAGAATTCTCTCTTTTTACTTACTTTCCTAGCAGCCTAAAATCAGATCTGGGAATTTATTTAGAGATAGACCTGCTTGGCTTATGGGAAGGGAGAAAGAGATTTTGAACTGTCCTGACAACAATACTGTTTTCCTTCTTCTCTATGTTTCTCTTTGCTTCTGAATAATCACACACTTGGACCAAAGGCGGTATGGATGGTAATTTTAATTTGTGCAGGCTTTGGTTTGAGTGCATTATTTTAAACTAAAATCAGTGGCCATTCAAGTTAATTTGCCGAGTCATGAGCTGCATCAGCCAAGGTATGGATATGCAGTTTGTTCTTCCACATCTACAGTGAAACCGGTAACATCAGATAAGAAGCAGAGTACATAGTTAGAGGCAGTAGCATTTAAAGTCATCTCAATTATAAATGCCCATAAGTTTTCATTTAGGTTGGATGACTGTTTCCTCCCTGTGTTACTAGGGAAAAGCTTTGAAGGGAATATGCATCTCTTTTAGTCTTGTCCTTGCTCTACAGAAGACACTTGTCCTCAGAGTATTAAACTGGTTGTGTCTTATGGCAACCTAAACCTGTAACTGTCAAAAGTGGTGGTGACGCTTTTTCCTCCCTCCACTCTGTTCTTGCACTGTGCCGGGGAGAGCATGACTGCTTCTTTTTGTGGTAGCACAAGTTTATGCCACCTTAAACTGTTCCTGCGATTAGAATAGGAAAAATGTGTCTTAAGTCTAGCACCTCCCATGCCCTGACCACCTACCTGTCCATAAAAACGGGTGCATATTGGTTCTTGTTTGTATTACTAACAAAGATATTTTGGTAGGCAGCAGGTATGAACAGATATAATCAAAACCTTTTTCCTTCACCTCAAGGCTAGCAAATAACACTTCCTTCAATACCTGGAAATATAACTAGAAATACCATAAGAGCAATACAAAAGTCAGGTTATAACACCCTAATATTTTGATTGACAGAGACATTTACTCCCTTTCAGTAAGGTGACAAGTGCACTGTAATTGGCAGCTCTAATTGCAGATTTTGTAAATGCAATCTTTTAAGCCAACTGAAAGCCAGTAAGATCCCGTTATGTGTCTCCCTTCAGTTAAAATACTGTATTTGTTTCAAAATTAAAAACCCCCAAACTTCTATAGTGTAAAAATCCCGATACAGCAGAAGTAAGAATCTGAAGGTAAAACTTTTTATAATTTTCATTACTGTAGACTAAAGGCATCTTAACTGGGTAAAGAGCACAAGCAGTGACAAGCAAAACAGATATTTAATATCTTGGCATATCACACCAGGGCTTTTCCAAGACTCCTGTAACTGTGTAGTATGTTTCTTCCTGGCTTTACCTATAACTGTAGCACTGGATTAAAAGGGGAGGTAAGGAATCTTCCTAGTGATTTTAGGATGGCTGTGGCTGCTTCTGTAAAGGTAATTGCACGTATCTGTTCACCTTGTTAACTTGAGAGTTGTGACAATTGCCACCCAAGAGTTTGAATTGGACAGGGTAGAATGCCTTAATACAGGACAAAGAGTTACGTGTGCTTTGTATCTCAAAACTTACAAACTGAAACCATCCCTTTTACAGTAGTTAATAATTTTTTGGACCAAATAAAAATTTCTAGACCAAGAGAATTCCCTTCAGCATCAATTTATATATATGATGCAGAAAAAGGAATCAGTGTTTAGCCTATAAGATAGCTGTGTGTCCCTAATCTACATTTCGTGGGCAGCACTTACAGCTGTGCTTTACAGACCTTCTTTGTTTCTACCCTAATAATGAGCTAGTCTTCGAGCTGGATGGTTTCTACAATCCTTGGACCCACCTAATATGCTCTTGACTGTGTCACATCTGCATGACTTTGTGTTTGGCAAACCTGTCCTTGTTGCACAGAACAGGAAGCAAAATCTCTTTGAGATTCAGCTTCCTTTCCACACTGCTGATTGTACCAGTATTGCATTTCTGCAGCCCCCTAAGACTTCATTTGTAGGACTCAGCTTTGAGGTGTGCAAGTGCAGCACTTATTCGTAGTAACACCATAGACAAAATGGTGGAGAAGGACAAGTTATGTAGTGGAACCCAATAGAGTGCTGTAAGCCCCACTCCTGTGTGCCTGCCAAACTATTTGTGTCCTACAAGGAGGAAAAAATATTCAGCTCGCATATGTGCTCTGTGCTACTGCCTAGCTCAATGGGTATGAGAGGTACAGAAGGATGGGTGGCCTTCGTGAATACAGGCAGCTATGTTTTGTATTCACATGCCACCCAGCTGTAAGCTGAGGCTCAAGTAGAATTGCCTTGTCTTATTGTGGTCTAGGTGAAGGATGATGTGTCTCAGTGAATAACATTGAGACATGAATTCTTTTGATTTCCAAACAAATTATTTTATGCTATTTCCTGGAACCTGCAGCTCCTTTAGTTCCAAACTGCTTTAGTTTGCATTTAAGTGGAAGAGGTGAAGGTGAAATTTCATATGCCTGTGCTTAACAGTCAGAATTAGCTTTATCTGCATCATTATTTTTTTTTCACGTGGCTGTGCTGCAAAATAAAGTGACACTGTCAAAGGTGTCATCTTAAAGCTTCAGTAAGTATTTGTAGTGACTCTAAAGCAGCTCTGCATTATTGAAGCTCAGAGGACTGATTAAAAAACTTGGGCCTGGTGTATTCTTGGCTTGCTGCAGCTGATGATGCATGGGCACTGTGTCTGTGTGTAGCTCTCTGCATTTTCACTTGGGATCCCCACAGCCTCATTGCTTGTGCCCTGTGATCAGTGCAAACTGGACCAAACCACTCCAGTAGCAGTTCCATGTTAGCAGTTAATAGGCTTCTTGAGCACCATCAGATCTTTGGCCCTCTATTTCTGCCTCCTTTCTGGAAACAGCAGGACACTTCAATACAAGTACTGCTGAAAGCCTTCAAAAGACAGGTACAACACTTTAGCACTCATTTTACACACATACATGTGTATATTCTCTGAAGAAAAATTGTCATCCTACATGCAAAGCCTTGCCTTTGGCTTACTGCTGTCCCAGTAGCCCTTTTGATTTGACTGTTGTCTGCTTTTGGTCCAACCTAACTGCTCAATATCTCTTGCTACATTTACCTCTAAAAGAGCTTCCGTTTTCTTTAAAACTGTGGTCTCTTTTCTCATCGGTAATTTCAAATCCCTTGTCAGGAAATCTGCTCTTTGGCCCATGTAAAGTGGACTCCCAGGCAGTAAACAACTCACTTGACATGCAGTTGAGATGAGTGTTACAGCCAAGATGAAAACTCTCTCTACAAGGCTAAATTTGAGAACCTATAGTGAAAATCTTCTAGTAATGCAAATTCTCACCTGCCTCAAATTTCTTGATAACACAGTTGCTTTATTCATTGTCTATTCAGAAGTAGTGTATGAATTTCTCTAGATACAAACATAACTTCTTTTTAAAGGTGTTGTTTTTTCTTAAGAAAAATCTGAAGTTCTTAATATGAATGGACAGTTCAAAGGCAGGCTTTCAAGTGAATAAGTTGTCCTGGCAGGAATTTGTGATTAGGTAACTTCTTGTGTACGTCTGTGGAATTTATACCTATTTAATACAAGTGCCTTGTGAAAATTTGAAAAGAAAGAAGGAAAAAAAAAATATTATGACCTCCCACCAAATCCACAGGTGGTCTTATTAAAGATTATACTGTTTAGTCTTTCAATAGACGTTAAAATTGCTAGAAATGTATTTTGAGCTTTGCCCCATTTTTTGTCCTATTTGTTCCATGCAAAATAAGGGTTAGTCTCTTCAGTTCTGAAAAATTGTTAGTGTTTGAAAGTACACTTAACATAAAAGACTCCACTAAAACTTATACAAAGTTCAGAAATACTTGTTTATAGGGAAACAGAATACGGATTCTGAATGTCCTAGGTCCTTACTAATATCCAATCCATTAAACCATCCTCTCCTTTATCTTCTACAGCTCTTACATTAATTTGAAAAATCTCTCTCTTGCAGCTGTCAATGTTAAGGCCAATTCATTTATATATTTTTAACATGACTTACTGTTTGAAAGAATTTTTCCTTAGTCTGATGTTACAAAACATAAACAACTTGAGCTTCTTTCTTACTCCCCTGATAGGTCCAAAATGTCTTGGTAAATGATTCTGCTAAAAAAAAAAAGGATGTTGCTGTAATTGAAATGGTTGGAGTGATGTTTCTTGGTTTTGTTTTTCACATATGCAGTATTTTTTGAGTGCAGTGTCCTACTTTGCTCATGTAGCCTTTCAGATACTTGATTTAAGTATATTGGCTAGGTTGTGCAGCACATATATCTGCAAATAATGTTTTCTAAAACTTAAATTTTGCTTTTCTCCTATAGGAAGCATGAGTGGGAGAAACATGGCACTTGTGCAGCCATGCTTCAGATCCTTAATTCTCAGAAGAAATACTTTGGTAAAGCCTTAGAACTCTACAAGCATGTTGATCTTAACAGGTACGTCAATGAATTCGGTGTTCTGCCTCTTACTTCAAATAGTTTCTAAAAGTTTCAAGTTTAGTCTAAAGAAAAAGTCTTAAAATTTGATGGCAGAGGGGAAATGAGTATTAGCATAAATTATTTTCAGTTCAGAGGAAGGGTTGTCTACTCCGAGCAGCATGTCTTTGGTCACTTCAGAGTCTGGTAAGCCAGCAGCGTTCTTCGCAGCATCATTTTAGACAATGTGAGCCAGTAAGTTTTGAGAAGCTGTATCAGCTGTACCTTGCTACCAAAAGCTGTAGAACCTGTAAACATCTAAATCAAGTGACAAAACCCGCCAAACTTCTGAGTTGTACTGAGGCCCAAATACTTGTTTTTGGAAAAGGCAGTGCTCTGCTCAGAGGAAAGGATAAGCTGCAGGCAAAATCATGCACAACATCCTGGGAAAAGGCTGAGAAGTAACAGCAAGATAGGAATGTCCTTTCAGAAAACCCTGATGTGATGCTCTTGCTTTGTCCTAGGGGCTGATTCCTTCTCATGGTTTGAAAGGCATTCCAGATACAAAATCTTGATGGGAATGTTGTGGCTTATCCAAGCACTGCATGTGCACATTCTGGCTGCAGGTGAATGCCAGAAGGCCAAAATCCGTTCCTGATCAGTGCTTGGTATGGGTAGGAGGATGTTTGACTCAGATTTATTGACTGTGAGTTGTCTCTCTGCTATAAGACAACAGTACCTGAGAGAGGAAATAAGTTCTTTTGTATCTAGAAACATATCTTAAAAAAAAAAAAAAAAAAATCTAAAAATCCTGTTCATGTTCTGTCAGTGTCATGTCCAAGCAATCTTTTAACAAAGTCTTTGCATGTGCACAAAGGAAATGTCTTTTTCCCACCCTGCCTCCTATTTTTGTAGGTGTCTTGTAAAACTTAATTAGATTTTTCTAGACACAGTGCCAAAGAGCATGTCATATGTAGTGTTAAAATTAATAATGTCTGATAAGTCAATTGCCTAAGTATCTGCAATGGTGTGACTAAAACATTTTACAGATGGCACAGTGACCCATTATGTGACTCTATCAGCATGTGTAACACTGAAGAAGAATAGAGACTGAAACATGTTGAAATTAATTGCTCAGAGCATATTCTCTGTTGTAAAAATGAACATAATTAAATTAATCTTTACTGAAAAGAATAAAGTCTGCTAATGTTCTCATTGTACTTCATTTATACTTGAATGAGAAAAAGTAGTGTTAGTGATTGCTAAAGATTGTTTCCAAAAAGGAAATTAATAAGAAGACATCATGCAGGCTTCTGTAAGAATAACATAACATCAACTATTTTATTGACTTCCTTATATCCCATGTCAAATGACTGCGACAAACAGCTAGACCTTTAGTCAACTGGGTTAAATTTCCTCTGTGCAGAACCTGATCTTGAAAGAGTTGAGCACTATCAGCACTCATTGATTAAATCCTGTGAGATGCTGAAGGTTCCCAAGCCTTGTGGCAGAAGCTGGGATGTAGAGACTCAGCACCAATTGGGTCCTGAGTGGTGTTGTCAACTTGGAAGCACGGACTTCCCTCAGGATTGAATCTAAAGGAAGGTGTATATAGGCTAGATGTTCTTGAGAGTTACCTTGTTTCTCTTATGTGAACAACCTTTCCTCTTCAAAAAAATCAGGAAATGTTTCTGCCCTGATGTTGATGTTCATCCAAATCTGCGCACCATGTCCCTCTCCCAGTGTGCTGTACATCTCCCACCCCAGCAAGCCCACCCTGTGTTAGAACATGAGGGTACCTAGAGCAGCCTCACAAGTCTGGCTCTGTCCCCTGTGGCTGGAACACAGGGGTATGGCTCAAGGCAGGGGAAAGAGGTAATTAAACCCCAGGCCCTGCTTGGCTCTCAACGGGGCACTCTGAAGGTCCAGGAAATAACAGCAATATTGCCCTTTCCCCTAGCAGTTTCTGAAGGCTCAACTATACCAGCTCCTGAGATTAAGGTGGAAGAGAGGGTTCTTCCTGACCCTGCCACGTTGGATGGGAAGTGGCCTTTCAGAAAAGGGGAACCTTTTGTAGGCCTGGCAGAGGATGGAAGACAAGTTTCCCTCGCTCCCCATTGCTGTAATGCTTGCCAAGTTCTCACTAAGATTATATGTTTGCCTAATCATTATGAAGTTATGTTTGCATACAGGAACCATGGAAAAATGTTTTGTCTTTGTTTCAGTTGTCTCCTGAAAGCTGGAATAAAGCCAAGCAGTTCATATTACCAGGTAAGAGGCAGTCTTTCATAAAACAAAATCATGTGCGTGTACTTTTTTCAGCAGGAGTCAAGTACTTTCTAGAAAATAAGTGACCTTTTTTAATTGTACAGATTTTTTAATGTTGTGCTTTATCCAAGAGTTTTTGTGAACTTAACAAATGTGGGAGCTGTTGGAAGATGTGCTAGTGACTTATTAATTTATATGAGCTTTTCAATTTTTCAGATGACTGCCATAAAGGAAGCTCTTACAAGATTTTATGGTGTAACACCAAAGATCCAATGTCTTCCTCCAGAAGAGGTAAAAACCCCAAACAAAAATATGTTGTTCGAACCCCTCAAAACCGAAAACCAAACAAAACCCAACCAACTGAAAAAAATAACGACCTTTTTTTTTTATTTTTGTAAAAAAGCGCTTTTTATCAAAACCTAAAAGCAAAAATAGAGTGAAAAGTCTTCAGTATGGCGAAACTTAGGTCTGGGTGTTCCTTGTGTATACAGCTCTTTGCAGATTAGATATTGCTCGATTCTCGGAGCCGAGTTCATAAAAACATTGCTTACATACTGGCAGCTAATGTTACTGTACCACAGCCTTTTCTTAATGCAGAAATATTGTTGGTGGAGGAAGTGTCCATTCTTTACATAGTAACTTTGCTGTTAGTATACTTACCCAGAAGGTGGGACCACTGGGTTTTAAAGGTCTATTTGTCTTAGAAGATTTGAACCTGCATGTCTTGCATGAATTCTGTAGCCACCACACTAGAGGTATTGCTGTAGCTGAGTACTTTCCATTCCTCCTGCTAAAGCTTAATTGCCATGTAGCAAATTACTAGAACCAACAGGAGTGAGCTGAATGGAGACAGTGACTGTTGGCTTTCACACGGGTACTACCTATCAACAGCAGTCATCCCTTCACTGGGCATGGCTCATGTGTTCTGCATGAAGAAGTTACTCAATGGACAGAATCCTTCAGAAATAAAGCAGAGGCTTGTCTCTCAGGTTGTTCTCAAAAGCCCATATCTAAAGACATACAAAAAAGCTTCACTGTGGTTCAGGAGGACTATAGTCTTTCCTTTTGAGCCTACAGTGTCTTAAAATTTCCATTTCTTTCTATTTTTCCTTGCCAATGATTGTACTGTGAATCATGATGCAGTAGAGAATGTGGTACACAGAGACAGTGTGCTGTAGTGTAAAATGCAGTTCACCATATCTGAACCAAAAATGCCTTTGAAAGAACAAAATAGTATTCGAACAATTACACGGGTAGGCTGCATAACTGTTTCTTTCCTTTTTCAGCTAGGTTACTCTGCTTTTATTAAAAAAGAAAGCAAAAAAACCAAACCCACAAGATAGCTTTCCCTTTTGTAAGTGATTCCTTATTATCTCAGTTTCACAAAAGTGGTTTACTACAAAACACTTGGCAGAGTTAGTGCCCATACACAGAGGACAATTTTGTGAAAAGTTGCCAAGATACAGTTGCTGTTGGAGTTGATTAGCTTGTGTGTTGTCAGCTCATTTGCTTTAGTAGTGCTCTGAGGTTTTTATACTCAGATGTTTCTTCACATGAAGAAGAATTTTATATTACAATATTTTTAAAATGTATTTTTAAGTTACTTTAGGCAACAAAGGAATGTGAATTGAATGTGGGTTGCATACTCACCCACCTCTTAATGCTGAAGAAATACAGAGCTAACACAAACTCCAGCTTCTAGCTCTGTTCACTGGAGTTCTGCCATTGCTTTTAGAACAATTGGGATACTGCTCAAATTATATGAAAGTAATTTACAGCTTGAGTCTCCTGTGCTTAACAGCTGAAGCTAATGGGTAACAGAAAGGAAAAAATACACCCCAGTTATTTAAAGATAGCCCTTTTCAGAGTTCCAGCCCTGTCGATGCCTGAAGTGCATTATGGAGGTACTTTGATGTTTAAAATATATTATACACTTGCTGTGTTTTTAAGTTTCTTTAAAAAAAAAAAAAACACCCAACAACAAAAAACCCAAACCAAAAAAACACCACAACCAAAAAAATCCCCCAAACCAAAGCAACAACAGAAAAACCCCACCACAGTTACTTTTGCCTTGTACATACATTTTTGTCCTGTTTAGTGGTTTCAAAACCATTTTTTTTTCCACATGCACTTTGTCACACCTGAGCATTTTGGGAGATTTTCATACAATCTTCCCCACATGACAGGCTTCCATGCATGCCTGCCTTATTCGTGGCCAATATTTTTCTTGCTAGTCTGTCCTGTAGTCCAAAAATGACATTTCTGCTACTTTTGACAGCTTGCTTCTGTATTCTTTTCAGTAAAAGCTGTTATGACACCAAGTTTCTTTTCTTCTTTTTGGAGAATTTTCTTTGGCTCATTTCTCATCCTGCTACAAAAGAGTTGGTGAAGGGTGGCTTTCAGGTCACACATACCCTTCAATATTCGCAGAGTTGAGGCAGAGCTCATCATTAAGGTGAACAGCTTCTGTGTACTGTGCAGATTTGGTAAATGCCAAGATAATCTGTGTCACAGCATTTCATAATGAGACTTACTAGTTAGGCAGATTCCCCACATTGTTACTGAAATATGTTGTTGGAATGCATTTCCTTGTCTGCTTTTTCCTTAAAGTATGTACTATAAACTGTTCAGAGTTCAGTGGATGCCTCTGGTACCTGTCTGCTTCACATTTGTCAGGTGGCAAATACACAAATAAGGCACTGCTGTATGCTTTAGGTAAGGCAATATATCTGAAGAATTGATGTATTTTCTTCTCCCCCTCAAGTTGATCTCATCCCTCATGTTTCTAGGGTGAAAAAGCACAAACAATTGGTCAGATTGAATTCTGCTTCACCAAAGAACTGCAGCTGAGAAACTGCACAGCGCTGAAGGATGAATCCGACCCAACACAAGCTGACTTGAAGCTTGGAACTGAGTTGTCTGTGTGCAGTGATATTTTCCCAACCTATTATCCTTCACAGGTCCAAGATCACATATGAAGCCATAAGAATTTGAAAAACTTTTTAACCGGCTATGAAAACCAAACCCTTAAACATTACACCTTGGAAAGCAGTCTTGACTTGGCAATATTACAAAGCCCTGTCCATATCACAGGCACGCTGTGAAGATTTCTGCTTGAAGACACACTTCTGCCATTAAAGGAGAATGGTCCACATTGTAATATCAGTTACACAGGCTGAAGTATTGAATTGTGTCTGTGATATTGGTGGGATTAGAATCTGATTTACAGCTTTGCCTGGACTCTTTGGCTTGCTTATGGTTTGAATCAGTGTTCAAAAGAGAACTGTGACTTCTTAGTTTCACTTGCAGTTAAGTCTGCCACTTCAGCCACTTTTGGGTTTTGCCAGTGAGTCAGGAAAATTAAGTCATTCTTTGTTTCGAAAGGATGCTTGTCTCTCTGAGATGAGATGGCAGTTTCTTGAGAAGAAAATGGTGTAAACTAGAAGAACTTAAGATACCTGTCTGGAGGTCCTTTCCCAGACATAATACACAGTGCCTTGTGTAAATTTGTTCTCCAGAAGTGCTGAACAGAGGCCACATCCTCTTGAGGCATTAAACCTTTCCTCACTCAGAGATCATGGCGGACCAAAGACGGCAACTTTTGCATAACTTCTTAGTGAATGAAATAACATTCATCAGGTTTTGGCACTTCTGCCTGAAGGACCCCAGGAAGACTGTATTTGTAGCCTTGCCTATTCTTTGATTGGTTTTTGCTACAGTAGCTCCATACTGTCTTGAAGAACAACCAATCTTAGCACTTACTTGCTAGTATAGGAATATGTTAGGCCCTAGAAATATGTTGTTATTAATTTCTCATTGTATTTGAACATTTAGCATTACCACACAAGTGTGAGTGCCTGCACTTTCATTTTAAAATTAGATTGTCGCATAATCACTTTGTTCCAAAAACCAGGTTTTTATAGATGAAACAGTAAATACTACAGGATTTTCAGTGAAAAGTACAAATGTTAACAATAACGCATCTCTATACCATAATAATTAATAACATGCCACAAGGTTGGATGTTGCCAAAGGGGACCAGATTTGGATGACATCCTCTACACATGCTGTGTTGAAGTAAGTGTCTCAAATTGTCTTTCAAAGAAAGACAATTATGGCTCAAGGAACCATCTGTTAGAAGAATATTACTGAGAAAACATGAAAGCAGTATTAAGAACAAATTTGTTATGTCCTTTGGGGTTTAGAAACCCTTCACATTTATCTCATTTTTGACTGTCTGTGTTTCTCTACCACCTCTCGTTTAAGGCTCTGCTGCCTTGCCATTCCAGAATGCTGTCAGTTTTTTAGTCTTTTAGAAACTCAGATATTTATTTTAACAGCTAAGAAATTAGTATGATCTGCGCTTTTGTATCTGTGTTTCGGCAGAGTGAGGGCTTCTCTTTCAAAATCTGTCTTCTTTCCCAATAGGGGGAATATACTAGAGTATATATTAGTATACTAATGGTAGTCAGATGTAGTGTTTTATAGTAGCCATGGCACATTCAGTTCATGTTGAACATGACCAGAAGAATCACAATTCTTCATTCCCTCATTTCTACCATCTTCTTCTAAGCAAGAAAAATATAAGGAGACTGAACTAAAATGCTTGAAAAGACTAGAATGTACTACTTTTTTTTTGTGGAATCTTTTTGAGATCACTAGTTGTTTTTTTTTTTTCTTCTAATTACAAAAATTATCTTAGCATAAAGAAAACAAAGACTTGTTGGGAAAAATGCATTTGTCTTCAAAGGAGCAGCCCAAGGCTCATGTACTTTCTACAACTCTCTCTCCAACTCTTTCAGGTAGTACTTAGATGGTGCATAGGTTTTGGGTGGACTACAGAGTGCAAACAACTTAGAATGAGCATTAATTTACAATTCACATAAGTTTTTTTTGTTCTTGGGGTTTTCTATTTCTTTTTAAAGAAGCAAGACTCACCTTTTCCTCAAAATTGTGCTATTTTTTAATGGTTTGGATTTTTTTGTCCTTTGGTGAAGTCCCTTGTTCTCCTTTTCCTTTCAGAGTTCTCAGAGTGCAGTGCCATATTGTTGCTTGTTAAGCTTACCAGCAGTGAGGGAAGTGGAAACAGAGGTTGGTAACTACCATCAGGGCATCTCACAAACATCTTGCTCAGTGCTTTTCAGTCACCAGCTCAGTTATGAACACAGTCCTTAATTAGAACAAAAGACTTCTCAAAATCTTACTATGAATATTGCCACTTTGGATGAGCAGGTGCAGTATAAAAAAATCCCATTAAATCCACAGCAACGTGCTGTACTGCCAAATGAGTGATGGTTGGGTTTGCCTGTTTTTCTGTGGTTGTTTTAATTCCTTCGTCCTTTTCCCAGTTTGAAGAAAAGCTCAAACTTGGAAGCAGTGGTAGCATTGGTTCTTGCACAGACATATGCTTAATGGAAGCTCAAATCAATAGCCTGATTATTTTTTTTAACTGCAGTATCAATTGTACTTTATTTTATAATGCCAAATAATGATTAGGGAGACAAAATACACAGTATGAGTTCTCTGCAGTTCAAGTGTAATGCATTAATTTAAGCAAAGCCAACAACTGTAATTATGTACTTTACAAGGAAGCAACAGAGACACTAAGCCTTCACAGTGTGAGGCTCAAAGGTAAAGCTGTCTCTTGCCAAATAGAGTCAGCGGATACAGGCAAGAGTCAGAAATGACCAACCTCTGCAGTGGAGTAGATAGTATGGCTTCCATGCGTTTGTCAGCCTCATTTTCACATGCAAGAAATGTGAGGGAGCTGTTAAGTGTGAAAACTTTGAGGAGAAACTAGCATAATCTGAAATGAAAAAGAGAGGGGAAGGGAGGGAGACGGTGAAGCCAGCAGCATGATAAACAACAACCTGCAACTGAGTAAAAAATGACTGATGAATGTTAAGTCACAGTTGGCTAAAATAACCCCACAGACTGAAGTCCTGCTTAAAGGGACGTACCTGAGGTACTGCGTTTTCCTTAACAAAACCACACCCATGTTCTTTTTATTTTGCCAACATTATTACACATTAAATACCTTAATTTGCAATGATTAGTTTAGTAGTAGTAGCAATAAAACAATATATGTGACTATTCTTGCTTGGTTTTTGAGAGACCCGCCTGCCTAACTTCTAGGAAGATGCAAATGTCTTTTAAAAGCTACAGACTGATCCTTATGCAGAGAAGTGTCAACACGCTATAAAGTTTTAAGTGGTACACCTAAGGGATGTTTTAAGGACTATGTCTGGGTGTGGGCAACCAGGAGAACAGATGCATGAACGGTAGCACTGGTTGAAACCAAAGATAATGTCCAGCCCTTTATGTTCTCTCTAGCAATGGCTCATAACCAGTTACCAGCCTTGGCAATTGCTTTCCATCAGAATATGTATAATTTCAAGAGTTGGTTTAACACAATTTAAATACAAGAGGTAAACAGAGGTATATTGGGAACCTTAAAAATCACTTCAGTTCTGAAGAGTGTCACTCACTTCTTTAAGCAAAATACAGTCTATCAGCCCTGAACATTTAACACATCCTGGGGAAGATGGGCACTATATTCTTTTCTGCATCATTAAATAAATGAGCTAAATCCCAGCAGGGGGGTTGTTTGTGCGGTGTCGGTGCTTTAAAACACTAGTCAATTCCACACAGGGACTTAGCTTGTTTATACCCTTTGTCCGTGTGTGCTCTCATGCAAAATGCATAAGCATCCTTTGGTGTGTAGGCTAGAGCATGGCCTGGCTGTCCCTTTTCCAAGGACAGCCCCTCTTCCTAGACCATGGGCAGGTTCTTTTCGCTATCTTGTTCTATTGCTCTATTCCTGGCCTGCGCTGAGGCTTCCTCTGCTGCACAGGAGCCCAGCTTTGGCCAAGCTTACAGTGAGCGGGAAATACAAGATAGGAAAAAGCAGTGTGTACTCAGTTTCTTTAGGTAGCTGCCCAGGCGCAGGTATAGTGTGCTTAAGGCTGCGTCTGTCTCTTCATACCAGCAGCTGATCTGCCACTGCCAACAGCAACGGGAAATGGGAGAAGCAGAGAGGACTTCCCCCCATCACTCCTGTTCTTCATGGAGTAACAACCAGTTGCCATTGCCTAGCTGATAGGCAAAGCTACTTCTGCAGGCTGAAATGGAGGTGGCACAGGCCTCTGCCCTGTCCCCAGTCTGCACCCTCAGGAGCTGGCAAGCGCTGGGCTGTGCTGCTGGCCCCAGCCACTGCCCATTGGAAGGAAAAAAAGCAGTGGCAGGACTGCAGTGCCCACGCAGCACGGGCAAGTCTGCGCTGCAAGTCAAGTCCCACAACTGTGGACAGCCTGGGTGTCTACAGCAGCAACACAGCAGGTGCTGGCTTTTACAGTGGAGAAGGGGGATTTTCATGGGAATGGGTTCCTGAATTTGGCACCTCAATTCTAGTGTGGTTGCGCTCTGTTTGGATCTGGCTCTGAGCACCATTAAGCCAAGGCCATGGAAGGTTAATGGCGCTGCTGACAGTGTTACTGCCGCATGATGGTGGTACTGATGGTGCAAAGGGGAAATGTCAGGACTTTGCAAGTCTCTCTCCCAGGAATGGAGCAGTCAGTGATGAGGAATGTTTATTCTAAATTCAGACTGTCTTGCTGCTCAAGCAGCTTCCTTCACAAGGCTGACTGCACGCCTTCCCTTCCTGTGTGTAAGCATTCCCTGCTCCACAGAGTTGCTGTAGATCACCCAGAGTAGATATAAATAATTCATTTTAGAAGGGATTTCAACTTCTTGTGCTTTGGAGAATAAGACCTTCAGTATACAGGCTAAGTGAGACCTGATGTGGGAGACGGGCAGATTGTTTTACGTTTGTGTGCTGTGGTCTTCATTATTCCTTACCCTGAAGTACACTGGAGCATCACAGATTGGGCGAGGACTAGATAGACCTCAAGAGCAGCCAAGCCCAACCATGCCCACAGGTTGGTCGTATGAATCCTACCAACATATTCAGCATGAAAGTCACAGCACTGACGTTCAGACACGGTGCTCAGTTTGAAGGATTGACATTTCAGTAATCTTTTATAAAAAAAGAAAAAATGACCATATTTGATAAGAAAATTCTTCAGCAGGTGATAGAAAATTCTTAAGCAAGCTGAAGAATGCCATGGCGCTGTCTGTAAGAAATACTGCCCTGAGCACAGCCTCGCTTACCAGAAAACAGGCTGTTCAGTTATGGTTTTTCTATAACTTGCACAATTGTTTGTGTTAGAGACCCATGCTCTGCATGTAAATCAGAGAAGATGAGCCAAAACAAAATTAGCAAGAACTAAAAGCACAGCAGTTACCCTGTAATAATTACAGTCTCTGTAAACAAGTGTGACGCATCCCAGCAGGTACCCGCCATTAGATCGCTTACTTCTGCTTCGTATGGTTGAATAAAACTTGCTGCTGTCAGCTTTGGAGGGAGGCTTCTCTTTCCAAAGTGCTCAGCTGAGGGTGGAGGCGCTGTGCATGCTTCCAGCAGAGGCTGGAAGAGCCATCACGACGCCCAAATGCTGTCATTTTAGCCCATCGGCCTTCCACAGATCCACCTCCCCCTCCACAGTTCCATGGGTTAAGTTACGACCGTGAAGGCTACGCGTGCCCAGGTGACTGGCGCTATCTGTTCCCAGTGCCAGCCGTTGCGGGTTTTTGTTCAAAAGAATATTGTGCAGGGACCGTCCCTCCTCATAAACCCTGTTTTGCAGGTATTTGCCAAATGCCTGGGGTGTGCATTCGCCAAGGATTTATTAGCCCGGAGGCTGGCTGACTGATGCGTGAAGCAGGAGCCACTTTCTTGTCTCCGGGGCCCTCAGATGTTTGGGGCTCACAATGCCGGTATCCTACAGAGGTGGTAGTTTTATATGTAGCAGCTGGCCCTGCCTTATTTACACTCCAGCCCCTGGATATCTG